ATATATATATATATATACACAGAGAGAGAGAGAGAGATAGACACACACACACATACATACATATATGGATAAGGAAATGGGGGATGTTCAACTATTTCATGGGTGTAAAGATAAAATTCAGTAGTTGTTTCTATAATAAGCTAACAACGAGATCACATCGATACAAAAAATGAAACAAGAAAATAATTTTATTCCAAAAAAAAAATCACTTAAAATAAAAGCACTCAGAAATTTGTCTGAGATAACATATTTTATAATGGGATTAGTCACCGCTTCATCCGAGGCATAACATAGACAAAGCAAGCAGCCTCCTAAATTAAAATTCCTCTCTATACTTAAACAGACTTAGCCAATATAACTTAGCTTGAGCCTGGAACATCAGAGATCTCTTCCAGACATCTGATAACTCCTAGAGAAGATTTTGCATCACATCTTCCATCCTCTCCACCTTCTCTAAACGAGCCAATAGCTCGTGCAATGCCTCATTCCACTAGACCACTGCTGATCAAGCAAAGGAGCTCTCATTTTTTTCCAGCAAAGGTAAGCAATCCAAGGGATGTCCTGAGTCGGTCAATTACTTCCCCTCTCTTACTAAAGGGGACATTAGGGCTATCAACCTTGCCATCCTTACATGAGAGTCGAGTTTTTTCTCCTAGCGCCTAATTTATTATCACTGGCACTCATGTCTCACCAATGTCAATCGGAGACAAATTATCATCTATGATTATCAAATTGAGTCATCTGCACTAAGAAACATCAAAAAATAAATTAAAATACTACAAAAGAAGTTTAAATCCTAAAAATAAGATTGAAAAGCTTATTACTCAATAACATATTCCACTTGAATATCATAAATGATGTAGCCTCCTCATCAGCGAACAACAATAGACACAGTAGGATATCTCTAAATCCATTTCAGTGATTGGGCCAATCGGACCAACCAGAAGGTCTTGATTCACCCTAGAAAGTTGAGCAGTTAGATCGATGGTTGGGTCAGTTGGTTGAACAACCCTTTTATGTTTAGTTTGAGAATTGAATCATACAACCCCACCTGATTCGACATATGAATTATAGGTTTTTTCTTTCTTTACAACTCTCTTCTTCCCCTGACTTTCAAGACAGTTCAATCCCTCCGGCTTCTCAAAGGCAAAGTGAATTATATCTTTATTATGAACGTCACTGAAAGGTTTTGACAAGTTCTCCATATGAATATCCAGAAGTCGACCTATTCAAATAAAGAAAACGAAAAAAAAAATGAATGGAAAGGAGCACCATAACATTCTATTTGTAAGAATCAAAGGCATCAAAATCAAAAGAGTTCAATTATTGAATCATTAATTAGAATAGAATATGATCTACTTTTGTATTAAATTCTCTTATTCTTATTATAGTGTTGCCTTAAAAAATAAGTAAGAGAATCAATTAACTAAAATGTGTACATAAAAATGTATCAGCCAAGATCCTGAGAAGAACCAACAATCTAGAAGGGAGGAGTACAATGAAGGTTGACCCACTGTCAGGAGATCATGAGGCTCACTTGACAAATCAAATGAAGCCATAAGAGCCCAACAAACAAGGCTGAAACTGACCAGGACACTAGACATATAAGAAGAGGATTGGTTGACCTAAGCATGGACCATTTAGCCAAAAATGATACTAAAGAACACCTGAGCCAACCATCACAGGAAGGCCGACTTGATGTGATAGACTAACCTCCATAAAGTCGTTCTAAGAGAAGATATTGTCCCAAAATATCTTTGATCATCTTAGGAGAGAAACAAGAGGCTTCTCATGAGGGATCAAGGATTAACAACTAGCCTAGATCAGCAGATAGACCCATGCAGACAAACCTTTGTAGACCAAGTTGATATTGCTGACTTGAACCCGACCAAGCTTAGATGGCAGACCCAGAAAGCAGGCGAATAAAAATCTCCATTTAAAATGCCAAAAATATGCAAGTACGAACCCTTTAAAGCAATGACAAAAATGTAATATCATCAATGTACTCTTTTCTCATTAAATAGGAGAAACATTTTATGAATGACATGATGAATTACTGTTCATTTATCTCTCTCTCTCAGGACATAACACATAATTTTTTATAAAATTATATATATTCATCGTACCATCCAATTCCCATGTATATGTACATCTAACATCTAAATATTTGCTTTTTATATTTATATCACTATTTTTTTTTCATATCACCTAAAAAATATTACTATTTTAATATTTAAAAAATAAAATATGATTTTCTTGTATGGGTATATATATATATATATATATATAGAGCAAATATGTAAATACTTAGAATTCAGTGGCATTCATGTAAATCTTCCATATATTTCAAATATGTAATTTTCCTCTTTCAACTACCAAAATTTGTGAAAATATCTTGGATTAATAATTAAAAGAAAGATTTATTTTTTGAAATTATAAGTTAGAATCACAAACTTTTTACAATTAAATTCATTATAAAATAATGCTATCAGTTCGCGAACAATGAGCTTTTTTGACAGCCCTACACCTATCCTCTCTCTCTCTTGCCACCTCTTAAAACCTCATTCTTTCCCCCACCGTCCCGTCGATCTGCCCTTTTTCGATGATGTTTAACCCTATTTTCATTCGATCGGCATGAGGCTTTCGGGTTTCAATTTCCTCTGGGTGAATCTTCTTCGTCGCTCCATTTTCTTCTCGTAATTTTCCTGAAATCAGACCTTGCGGATGGATCTCTTCACTGGGTAAGCTTTTTCGGGTTTTTGCATCGTGGATTCAAACCTCGATTTTCTCATGTCTTTTGCCCTTATTATTATTAATTTTTTCCTCTTTTAACTTGGTGTTTCGCAGACAAATTCGCGATCTATTGCTTTCTAAAGTTCCATCCCTTGCTGCGATTCTCTTCTGAATCGCACAAAATGGCTCAGGAAAGTTGCGATCTAGACAAAGAAGAGGCTGAAGTTCTCAAACCCCCTTCTCCTTCTCATCCTCCATCTCCTCCTACCTCATCTTCCCCTTCTCCTGCTCTTCCTCCCCCTTCTCCTTCACCTCCTCCTCTTTTCCTGGATCAGCCCAACTCAATCACCGCTGAAGAACTGAAACCACCGGCCTCCAAGCTTGTTGACGAATCTCTGCCGTCCATTCGCCCTATCAACCGATGCTCTTGCTGCTGTAAAAAAGTCGGCCTCGCCGGATTCCGGTGCAGGTGCGGCGAACTCTTTTGCTCCCGCCACCGGTATTCCGAAACCCACGACTGCTCCTTCGACTACAAAGCTGCTGGAAGGGAGAAGATCATGAAGGCCAACCCAGTCGTTAGAGCTGCCAAAATCATCAAGATCTAAAGTTTTTAGATCGATCGACATCCTCTTTCCTGTTGTAAGTTCTGTTTCAGCATCTTCTGTTCTGTTTGGCTTTCCGATTTCCTCCTGGAAATCTAGATCATTGAACTGTCCTATAATTGTGTTACATATCTTCTTGTATAATTTTATCTTTGTTATATTTGTAGGTTTTCTGCTATATTGATCTTTGTGCTTGTTGCAATTCTTAAATTTATGTTTTTTATCTTTTTTCTGTTTTAGAAATTAATCAATTTGAGTTATGAGACTTGATTGCAAAGGAATCTACCAGGCTGTTGGTCAGCTTTTGTTGTGACGTTGTGGACGTTTACTTTAGTTTTTATTGTAGGGTCCGTTCCGTTCCTCTGGCTAAATAATAATTTATCTTAAAGTTTAGTTAAACTAAAAATTACATAAGTCTCCTATATAGTTTTTTTTTCTTTAATTTTTTATATTTGGCGATTTGTTTAATATATGTTTTAGTTTATTTTTTTAACTTTTAAAGCAAAGGGTAGTTTTGTCATTAACAGAAAAGTAGTACTTTAAATATTCTGTATTAAGATTAAGAATAACAATTATTATTTTATTTATAAATTTAAAAAGATTATGTGTTTTACTTTCACTGATCTTGATTATTGTGCTTTTAGAGACTCTATCTTAGGGAAAAATTTTGTCAAGGGATATGCAGAGATGCGTACATAATAGGGTACACGGGTTTATATCGGGATTACAAGGGGGTTATAACCCGTTGTACCTCCCTTGTAACTCCCGTGTAACTTCCGGTGTAACCCCGCTGTAACCTTGTAATCTCAATGGATAAAATAAAAGCGCGGGTTATAGCCGAGTTACACGAAAGTTACAAGGAAGTTATAACACGCTTGTAACCCCCATGTAACTCCCATATAACGCCCATGTACTTTATTATGTACGCATCTCTGCGTATCCTTTGACGTACGCAAATTTTTTCCCTATCTTAGCGGATTTAAGTAGGATTTAACTAGAATCTTAATGGTCTGAAAAGATGTTAATCTTAAATCCTGATTTGGTAAATCAAATTCCATCTTAATTTTATGTTAAATTCCGAATTTATTAAGTCCTCTTGTTGGAAAAATTTAGTAAATATGAATATATAGAACTTACTACAAAAGCCGTTACATGAAGCCTCCTTAATATTGTTAATTTGCAGTTCTTGTTCTATTTATGTTTGAATTTTTAAGAGGTTTTGGATTTTTTTTAAATGAAATAAATTTTCTTATTAATAAATCTTTTTTTTATTATTTAAATTACCCGTTTTGAATATTAATGGATTAAGAAATAAACATGTTTATCGAAAATATGTCAGCGTTGATCATGATAAGATCTAACGATCCAAGAGAGAAGAGTAACGAAACAGGTTGTACTGATAGAAAATGGTGACCTACTTGTCAGACCGAGTGAAGCTGTTTGAGCCGAGCCAACATAGCCAAAATCAATTGAACTATGAGAAGGGTCGAAGATGACCAGAGGATACAAGAACAAGCCAGTTAGCCAGAAACAAGATAAAAGGGTATATGAACTAACCATCATAAAAAAAGTCGATTTAATGAAAGATCTGGTTCCCTAGACTCTTCAGCCATCCCAGGAGTGCTTAGAGTTTCCTCGTTAAAGGTTAATCATCGACAGGTTGTATCAGCTAATAGATCCATATCGACCAAGCTAATCATGCCAACCAAAAGGTGACTAGGGCAACTAGCCAAGTCAGAAAGTAGTCGGCCGATGGGCTTACCCATTTAAAAAACTAGAAATATTGCATTATGAACTCCTTTAAAGTAGAGATAAAAAGGTTATATATCATTATGCCCTCTCATCTATAAACAGGGTAATCATTTTATGAATATAAGAGGATTGACGCAATTGATATGACATTTTAATATTCACTTATTTCTCTCTCTCTCTCTCTCTATAAACTCTATTCTTTGGGTGTGATTGACAAACAAATCATGATTCAACATACTTAAAGATGCGACAAACTTAGATCATGCAACAAACACAAAGAGGAGCAGTCAAATGAGATGAAACTCACAACGAAGATAAGGACAAAATGAAGTGCCTAAAGACTTTGTAGCCCAATAGATGCAAATGTTGAAGAATCAAATGTCAGATGTCATTCGATGCGCGCTAATTCGGGGGAAGGGATCAACAATCCAATAGAAGGGTTGGCGCTCAATGAAAAAAGAGGGGCCCCAGCTTTGGAAAGAGAAGAGAACTCTCGGTGCTTTGATAGTGTTGGATTGACACCAATTGACCGACATCAGTTCATGCGTATTGAGGCGCCCCAACAATTCAAGAATGCATTTTCTCTCTGAGATTCAAAATCCTGACACTAGAACACAACAAGGGTCAGACCAATATGGTCGAGCACATAGCCTTGTTTGAGTAGATCGTGTCCTTAATAAGGAGTACTGATGTACTGAAATGCCATCTCTTTTTTACCATATGAGAGATTTGGCTTTTAGGTAGTTCAATGTTTTACTGTCAGGTGTAATCACATTGTTTGTTGATTTCAAGTGAATGTTTCTGGCGTTGTTTGCTAGTGCCCAGAAGCCCCAAAAAAAACATGTAGGCCCTCTTGCAGCAAGAAGAGAGTAACAACCTTCTCTCATTCATCATCCGCTTCCAAAAAAAGATGTTAGAAGTAAGGGACGTGGAGCTCTCATTTGCTCATGCTACCCTAGCTCAGTGGCTGATGGAAGGACCCTTCCTGTGCGCATGTTAATGTAGTTTATTTTCCATTTCTTAAAAAATCGGCTAAATAAATTTTACTAATTTTGCATATGATCTCATATTCGGCCGACACTTGGGGAACTTGAGAAGGTCATATAAGGGGTTGACAAAATCCGACAGACACTCGAGGAACTCGGGTCGGCTCACCAATGATAATTTTACGTGAGGGGCAAAAGAGACAACAAAAGGTAACATCTGATCAAAAAAATTTTCTAAATAATTGACAACAACGAATAAACATCAGATCGGTAAATCATAGAAGATCTAACCCACAACACTCATTCGTTGGAAAAATTCACATCTCAAAGCTCGAAATGGGTCAAGCTCTGGCGACAAGATTACCTACCCATTAGTAATAAGATCCACGGTGGATATGATACAATACACCTAAGGAACAAGTATAGATGGTTACCCACGTAAAGTCAACGAAAAAATCCACTTAATACGTCAGGCAAAAGGTACAGTTCTCCCATTTGATCGAGCGACCGAGACATGGGGAGTGTAAGACTTGAGCCGAGAGATAGCTTAACATACCGAGCAAAAACATTCTTAACATTGCCGACCATTCAATCATCAAAGTTGGGTGCTCATCATAAAATCATTCAACACAAAACTACAAAAGAAAATTACAAAGACATGAGAATCAAGAGATCTCAATTATTGAGTTACTAATTAAATAATAAATAAATCAAAATCTTAATTTAATTCTCCTATTCTTATCGTAGCATCGTTTGAAATAAATAGGAGAATCGATGAACTAAAATATGTACGTAAAGAACATGTTAACACAAATACTGAGGAGATCTAACAGTCCTAAGGAAAGGAGTATGACAAAGGAGGGCTTACTCACAGAAGATCACGAGGCCTACTTGTCTGACCTAGTGAAGCTGTCCTAGCTACGCCAACAAGGCCAATGCCATCCGAACCACTAGATGTACCAAAGATGACCAGAGGATGCAAGCATAAGCCACTTGGCTAGAAACGTGATAAAATGGTGTCTGATCCAATCACCACAGGAGAGTCGACTCAATTGATGATATGGTTCTCTAGCATCTCCAACCATCCCATAAACACCCAAAGCCCCCTCATCAATGGTCAAAAATCGACAGCCAAGCCGTATCAACTGGTCGATCCATACTGACCAAGCTTAGTTGACCTATCAATACCAACCAAGTTTAGTTAAACGAGCTGATCCTGCCGACCCGAGGTCGACTAAGATCAACTAGCCAAATCATAAAGTAGATGGACGATAGGTATATCCATGTAAAATACCAGAAATGACCCAACACAAACTCTTTTAAAGCAAAGAAAAAAATGTAAAATCATCATTATAAATTCTCTTGTTTATAAATAGGGGAATCATTTGTGAATTGAGGATTGACATGAATGATATGACATTGTACTGTTCACTCATCTCTTACGTTATTTAGGTGTGTTTCACGGGCAAATCAAAACTCCACAAAACAAATTTTAATTCTAATATTTTGTCAAAGGACTAAATGATAATTACCCCCCTTTTCTCCCTTGTTGAGCACTTAATTTCAGTTGCTTGCTTTGGATTCCTTTCTTCCTGTGATATTGGTGCTTCTGTAGCTTCTTCACCACTAAGGAAGGTGTAAAATGTACTTTTTATCTTAAATAAAGCATATAATTCGTATAATGCCTGAGCATGATTTTCATGTCCAGAATAAATTTCAATCATTCACTTTTCATTAAAAAAAATAAATAAATCCTTACCTTATTTCTTATGGAGATGGCTAAATACAAAGTTCTTGAACATATCTGATATCTATCAGTCATATTTGAATTGATAATAAGCTTTATGTAATTACTCTTTTTCAAGCGCTGTGGTTCTTCTCCCAACTAATATCATCTTTGTGATTTTATGATGATCAACGGTATATTTATTATTATTATTGGTATTTTAATTTTGTCTTGTATGTGTGTTTGGGAGAAGTGCCATTTGCAATGCCTTGAAACACTTTGATTAATAAAAGAGGTATACAAATCACAACAATCACCGGATAGTATCTTCTCCTAATTTGTTCAATTTTTTTTTTTTTTAAAAAACTTTCTTCCCCCAATTCAAAAGCCCCACCGTAATGCACTGGTATTGATTAGTATTAAGAATGGTGGGACCCGTTTGACACATGATACCCCACCATTAGACTGATGTAATATTTTTTTTTTATGAGAAAATAGATTAAAATTTTATGAGGATTTAAATTCTTGGCCAAGTTTGAAAATCATCCATCTTTAATTTATTTGAACAACTTGGCATTATTTTATTTCTTAATTTATATTTATACACCCTTTTTTAATTAAATTTATTTTACATTCAGCTACTTGCATTGTCGGCTAAGGATGATTATGAGAGGCTAATCTTGAATTGACTAAAGTTTTATTCGCTAATCTCC